GCCAGGGCTGAGGCCGTCTTCTTTGACTGGACCACGGTCAACAGTCGGCTGTACGCGGTCAGGCCACGAGGTTCATCTAAGTTAACTGAGCGTTGAGACGTCAAAAATACCTTATTTGTCCTCTCCGCCTACGCTCCTTCAGACTGCAGCTCGGATGCAGTTAAGGATTGCTTGCATCAAGAAATACATGACCTGTGTTCCTCCAAGCAGTCTAATATTGTCGTATTTGCCGGAGACGGGTAGTGCACGATCTACCTTTCAAAAAACCGTGCTGCTATTTACTGAGAAGGCGCATAGAACTCAAAAATTCTATTATGCGTTCTTTAACTAACCTCTCCATGATTCTGGAGATAATAGATGTGTGGTGGACTGGGTGGTAATTTTTTGCATCTTGCATAGATCCGCTCTTGTGTCGTGGTATTATAGTTGATTGTTTCCAGTGTATAGCACACTCCCCATTGAGCATGGAAAGTGTAAATACATTAAGCAAAAAGAGGGGGATGTCTGGACCTCCGTGCTTGACCAGAATTGGCGGGATGTTGTCAGGGCATGGTGAGCATGATGGCCGAACTAAGCTGAGTTGGCGACATATGTCACTAAGTGTAAATACAACAGTTTGGAGTGTATTACTGCCTTTGTGTGTCAGCTTGAGCTGAGGATCTTCTTTCGCATTAGTGCCATAAGTAGACATGAAGTAGTCATTGAAGATCGAACATATGATTGCACGGTCGGTTATGGCAGTTCCATCAGAGTTTACAGTAGTGTTTATACAACTTGATTTTCTATTCTGCCTACGGTCCAAAAGTTTTGAGATGCAGCCTACCACGTTGGCGCCCTTCAGTGCCATTACTTCCTCAGAGCATAGCATTTTGTGGTGATCTTGGTATAACGCTGTAAGCAATCTGGTGTGGAGCATCAGCAGAGTAAAATCGTTTGTTTTCCTAAATTTTTCTTTATTTTATGAAGTTTAGTGGCTACCTTTTTTGAGATGCCTGCAGGTGCAGCAGTCCTTTTCAACTTCTTGGTACGTTCTGGAGCCACAGCTTCAACACAAAGCTGAATGCGGTGGTAGAACTCATTACAAGCAATTTGTACATTCTGTGCTAAGAAGAATGGATCCCAATATGAAGACCTTATAAGATCCGAGAAAATTGACCAATTCACAGAAGAGAATGGGCGGTAATTGATCACTGATTCTATCGGTTTAGAAAGAATTTGGAAAGAACAACCAACGATGTTATGATCACTACCCGGCAACTTGTCACTGATGTATGTGGACACATGCGAACATCCCATAGTAAATATTAGATCAAGTGTGTTACCAAGCCGTGTAGGTTCTTTGACGTGCTGTACCCATCCCAGTCGACCAAGAGTAGACATAAAAGGATTGTGTTTTTGTGGTTTATTGTTAAGGGACCATGGGATTTCGGGCATATTAAAATCCCCAGCGATTATTTTATTAGTGTATGAGAGGTCAGCAATAAAAGAAAATGTGTCCAACAAGTCATCGGTTACGGTGAGTGCAGACGATGGGGGTCTGTAAATACAACCTACTAAGAGATTTGTTGGATTAATAGAAATTGTAATCCACACCGAATCAGGAAGTCTCCGTAGGAGTGGTTCATTCAGAGGCAGAACCAAGTATTTGTCTTTGACGTAGATTATACAGCCACCACCTCTACCATAAAGGCGGTCATTACGAAAGATGTTATAACCCAGTATCCCGAACAATGTGTCAGGCATCTCTGCTGAACACCATGTTTCTGTTTTATTACTATATCAGGAGAAGAAAGGTGAAGAATATTACGCAGGAAGTGCATTTTATTTAACAGTGAACGGGAATTAATTAAAAGTAAGTGCAGTGTCTTGTTATCCGTTGGGTTGTCTACAGGAATCCAGGTACAGGACCCCAACGAGGTGGTATTTGGAGAGAGTGGAGTGGGGGTGGTGGATACGGAGGACATATAATTTGCGGAATTAGTGTCATTTGGGGGTGTGGCGGGTAAAACGCCACTGGACCCCCAAAAAAGTTCGGAAGGGTGAAATACTGGGAAAATGGCGACCCACTGGGAGATTACAGTTTGCTGGCTGTTGCATATAACCTACCTGCCAGTTAAGATTATTTACATGTTGAGGTAGTTTGAGAGGATTTTGGTTGTGCCAATTTCTCTCAGCTACTTGAAGTTCACTAGCAAGTGGCTCACAAGTTATGGAGCGCACAGGTCGCATATTCAAATGCTGCATGGTTGATGATATGCCGATTGTCTGCAGGTTTTCAGTGGTGACAGCGTTTGCTGGAATGTTTAAAATAGCTGTGTTTTTATTGTGCTTAGGAGCACCCGTATAGATTCCACGTGAGGTTTTGCTACCAGTGTTCTTTGCAACAAGGCTGTTCCGCAGTTTTAGAGGTTCACAGCTTTTAGGAGAGGAGGTTTTCAGTTTCGTACCAGAGCGTCTATGCACCTGGTTGGTGAACGACAAAGAGTGAGTAGAAATAGTCGTTTGCGCAATGGAACTTTCTTGTATGTTCGGGGACGAGTTGCGCGGTAATGCTGGACTAATGTGACACTGAATGGAGTCAGAAGCGATATTTTTATGACAGTTGCTATTTGATTTCAACCTTAGAGCTGATTCATTTATGATCAGAGTGTCATCTAGGTCAACCAGGTGGGGAAGTTCCTGAGTTTCCGTGGGTAGCGGAACATATTGGTCACAGACTGTTTGTCGGAAATAGGCTTTTTTGCACTCCCTTTGTAGTACTGTTAAATCTGGTTTCAGGACCATGGATACGTAATCTTTCCTAAGGGATAATGCGCTCCTACTACAAATGAATTTTTCAGCAAGTGTGTCGTTTGAAAATTTAAAAGTACTGGACAGACCTGCTTCGGAGATTTCTTTCGCAGCCTCACGCAAGAAAACTGCAGTCTTTCAATATGACAGTCGTTTGCCACTGCAGAGGAGATAGCCTCAAGAGATAACTTTTCTGGTAAATTAAATGCTATAACATTTTTGGAGCGTTTAATGCGCTCATGCACCTCAAATGCAACATGTTGTATAAGATTCCCAACGGATCGAAGGTGTTCCATTTTTGGTGTATCTGGAGTATTAAAAAGATACTTAAGCGAGTTAAATTGCTCTAGCACTTGGTACAGAGATTCAAACCTTTCCTTCAAGTCCTTCAGCTGTAGTTCAAGCGCAGCAATCGTTTCAATCGCTTTAGTGGGCGATTCTGCAGTAACTGCGCTGTGCTCTATCAGAGAAACCTTATGAGAACTATCATTTGATTGCTTTTTTACTCTTACGCGCAATTTCGGCTTTATTTTCATCTTAGATGATGAGCCTTTAATTTTTTCCGTGCTGACGGACTGGTTATAAGCAGGATGTTTTGCCAGCATTTCAATGGCTTCCTGTCTCTTCTTTGAGTTTCTTGTTTTAACTGAGGTAACGAGCATTTTTACTGATTGGTCACTCGGTTTTAGGGCTTGTGAAAACTATTTTATGTGGACAAGGATAAGAAAATAGGGGACAAATTTCACCGCTTTTGTTACAGTGATCAAGAGGAATCAAACAGTTATCGACAAACCGCCGAGGAAACAGACTAGGATTTTAGGGCTTATGGTTGGCGGCATCCGGTTTCGGATTTGCCTGTCACTGTGGCAAGCCACAGGACGCCTGCGCCTACAGAGGGACCATGGATGGCTTGCGCTGCACCACCCACAGCTCCAACCACACACCCCATATCCAGTGTAAACCCGAAGGAATAAGACCGGGAGGCATGCGGATGGGAACCACGTTTCATCAACGGAGCCGGCCCACACTCCTTCACAGGCAAACACAAGCACGCTGTATTTGGGAATCAAGCGCACACAAGGCGGTGGCTGGACCGTAGTCCGCTCCACACTGACTGCATGGAACCACTCTTTGATCCTAACACGGCCACAAGGACCGTGCACCCTGTCCCCTCCAGCAACGACCAACTGTCTCCTGGAGCCAATATGGACGAGGTAGTGGGTAATAGACAGGTAGGCACCTTGTCAACATGCACATCAAGCGCAGCCACACCGGGGATATCAAACAACAGCCAAACACTTGAGAGAGAGAAAGAAAGAAAAAGAGAAAAACTCGATTAATGCATAAGGAAACGGTGATATAAACCTTAATTAAATAGCATATGTAATAAGTTGTTTACAAACAAATCCTAGCTAAGTGCACGAGGTCAGGAAATATTGTTCACGGAATGCCACGAACACAAATATGCTACGGAAATCGAATACAATTGTCTTAGGCGATGTGTGCAAGTTAATGGAATAGAGTACTGGTAGACATTTATGTGAGAAAGAAAAGCATTAAGGCACAAACTGTAAACCCACCACCCGAAATAAAGTGACTTAGCATGCAAGCACGCGGTTAGTAAATCGAATTCAGCGTGCCTACAAACGCTGCGCCGGCTCGCCGTAATTCTCTGCAGGACCCGCCGTCGCTTCTGTAGTGGCCCCAAAGGACCTAGCTCATGGCTAATGAGCTATATATACATATATACATATATATATACATATAGCATCCGGTTTCTGATTTGCCTGTCACTGTGGCCAGCCGCAGGACGCCCGCGCCTACAGAGGGACCATGGGTGGCTTGCGCTGCACCACCCACAGCTCCAACCACACACCCCATATCCAGTGTAAACCCGAAGGAATAAGACCGGGAGGCATGTGGATGGGATTCACGTTTCATCAACGGAGCTGGCCCACACTCCTTCACCAGCAAACACAAGCACGCGGTGTTTGGGGAACGAAGCGCACACAAGGCGGTGGCTGGACCGTAGTTCGCTCCACACTGAGTGCATGGAACCGCTCTTTGAGCCTAGCACGACCACAAGGACTATGCACCCCGTCCCCTCCAGCAACGACCAACTGTCTCCTGGAGCCAGTATGAACGATGTAGTGGGTAATAGACAGGTAGGCACCTTGTCAACATACACATCAAGCGCAACCATACCAGGGATATCAAACAACAGCCATTCACTTTAAACGACAAGCTGAAATAAAATAAATCCAATAATGCATACAGATACGGTGGCATAACTCTTCGCTAAATTACCATATGAAGTAAGTTGGTTAGCAACAAATCCGTGATAAGTAAGAAATGTCCACAAGTTACTTAAAATGCTACAAACGCAACAAAATTACCGAAGATAAGCGCAATTAGTGTAAGCAACGTGGCCAGTTAATAGAACATTATTCAGGGAGGCAGAACAAACCAAATAAAGCGGAATGAAATTTATCCAGCTTAAAAAGACCTAGTTTAAGTGTAAGTTGGTTTAGCCCAACTGCGGTGAAGAAGCATCAAGAATGCAACATCAGCCTCAGCATGGGGCACACATACATACATGGTTGGCGGCATCCGGTTTCGGATTTGCCTGTCACTGTGGCAAGCCACAGGACGCCTGCGCCTACAGAGGGACCATGGATGGCTTGCGCTGCACCACCCACAGCTCCAACCACATACCCCATATCCAGTGTAAACCCGAAGGAATAAGACCGGGAGGCATGCGGATGGGAACCACGTTTCATCAACGGAGCCGGCCCACACTCCTTCACAGGCAAACACAAGCACGCTGTATTTGGGGAATCAACCGCACACAAGGCGGTGGCTGGACCGTAGTCCGCTCCACACTGAGTGCATGGAACCGCTCTTTGAGCCTAGCACGGCCACAAGAACCGTGCACCCCGTCCCCTCCAGCAACGACCAACTGTCTCCTGGAGCCAGTATGAACGATGTAGTGGGTAATAGACAGGTAGGCACCTTGTCAACATACACATCAAGCGCAACCATACCAGGGATATCAAACAACAGCCATTCACTTTAAACGACAAGCTGAAATAAAATAAATCCAATAATGCATACAGATACGGTGGCATAACTCTTCGCTAAATTACCATATGAAGTAAGTTGGTTAGCAACAAATCCGTGATAAGTAAGAAATGTCCACAAGTTACTTAAAATGCTACAAACGCAACAAAATTACCGAAGATAAGCGCAATTAGTGTAAGCAACGTGGCCAGTTAATAGAACATTATTCAGGGAGGCAGAACAAACCAAATAAAGCGGAATGAAATTTATCCAGCTTAAAAAGACCTAGTTTAAGTGTAAGTTGGTTTAGCCCAACTGCGGTGAAGAAGCATCAAGAATGCAACATCAGCCTCAGCATGGGGCACACATACATACATGGTTGGCGGCATCCGGTTTCGGATTTGCCTGTCACTGTGGCAAGCCACAGGACGCCTGCGCCTACAGAGGGACCATGGATGGCTTGCGCTGCACCACCCACAGCTCCAACCACATACCCCATATCCAGTGTAAACCCGAAGGAATAAGACCGGGAGGCATGCGGATGGGAACCACGTTTCATCAACGGAGCCGGCCCACACTCCTTCACAGGCAAACACAAGCACGCTGTATTTGGGGAATCAAGCGCACACAAGGCGGTGGCTGGACCGTAGTCCGCTCCACACTGAGTGCATGGAACCACTCTTTGAGCCTAACACGGCCACAAGGACCGTGCACCCCGTCCCCTCCAGCAACGACCAACTGTCTCCTGGAGCCAGTATGGACGAGGTAGTGGGTAATAGACAGGTAGGCACCTTGTCAACATGCACATCAAGCGCAGCCACACCAGGGATATCAAACAACAGCCAAACACTTGAGAGAGAGAGAAAGAGAAAGAGAAAAACCCGAAAGAGAAAAACTCGATTAATGCATAAGGAAACGGTGATATAAACCTTAATTAAATAGCATGCGTAATAAGTTGTTTTCAAACAAATCCTAGCTAAGTGCACGAGGTCAGGAAATATAGTTCACGGAATGCCACGAACACAAAAATGTTACGGAAATCGAAAACAATTGGCTGAAGCGATGTGTGCAAGTTAATGGAATAGAGTACAGGGAGATATTTATATGAGAAAGAAAAGCATTAAGGTAAAAACTGTAAACCCACCACCTGAAATAAAGAGACTTAGCGTGCAAGCACGCGGTTAGTAAATCGAATTCAGCGTGCCTACAAACGCTGCGCCGGCTCGTCGTAATTCTCTGCAGGACCCGTCGTCGCTTCTGTAGTGGCCCCAAATGGCACAGCTCATGGCCCACTAGACATTTATATGAGAAAGAAAGGCATTAGGAGAGAACCGAAAACCCACCACCTGAAATAAAGAGACTTAGCATGGAACCATGCGGTTAGTATTCTAATTCAGCGTGCCTACGAACGCTGCGCCGGTGCTGCCTACGTTCATTGCGGGACCCGTCGTCGCTTCGGCAGTGGTCCCGAGTGACCTCTCTCATGGCTCACTAGGACTGCCTGACTAAGGCACTCGCGACCGCATGTTCTACAACACAATGCGCTCGATGTCGATGGAGTACAATTCATTGGTGCTTGCCGCTTCCTTTAGGGCTTATACAATCCATCAAAAGTGCAAGAGAATCGTTGGCGGCATACGGTTTCGGATTTGCCTGTCACTGTGACCAGCCACAGGACGCCTGCGCCTACAGAGCGACCATGGGTGGCTTGCGCTGCCCCACCCACAGCTCCAACCACACACCCCATATCCAGTGTAAACCCGAAGGAATAAGACCGGGATGCATGTCGATGGGAACCACGTTGCATCAACGGAGCCGGCTCACACTCCTTCACAGGCAAACACACGCACACTGTATTTGCGGAATCAAACGCACACAAGGCGGTGGCTGGACCGTAGTCCGCTCCACACTGACTGCATGGAACCGCTCTTCGAGCCTAGCACGGCCACAAGGATCGTGCACCCCGTCCCCTCCAGCAACGACCAACTGTCTCCTGGAGCCAGTATGGACGAGGTAGTGGGTGATAGACAGGTAGGCACCTTGTCATCATGCACATCAAGCGCAGCCACACAGGGGATATCAAGCAACAGCCAATCACTTGAAATAACAAGATAAAATAAAATAAATCCAAAAATGCATACAGATACAGTGGCATAACTCTTCGCTAAATTAGCATATGAAGTAAGTTGGTTAACAACGAATCCGCGATAGGGAAAAATGTCCACAAGTTACTTAAAAATGCTACGAACGCAACAAAGTTACCGAAGATAAGCGCAATCAGCGTAAGCAACGTGGCCAGTTAACAGAAGATTATTAAGGTAGGCAGAACAAAGCAAACCAGGTGGAATGAAATTCATCCAGCTTAAAAAGACCTAGTTTGAGTGTAAGTTGGTTTAGCCCAACTGCGGTGAAGAAGCATCAAGACTGCAACATCAGCCTCAGCATGGCGCAACGAGAATCACACGGGTACAAACAGGTCACGGTTTCAGTTGCAAGGATCGATACAAACCAACCGGTTGTAAGAGCACTCCATTGTCCAAATCCCGCCAAATTCCTTCAGTAATCGATCGATCTGTGCACAAGTAGCCCTGAGGTCAACTCCGTGGAGTGTCGCGTCACGTTATGCTACAAGTTCCAACAGGCGCACACGCACAAATCCGGCCAAACAAAGAGACTTGCGTGCGTTCGATAGAACGCGATTCGCAATGCGGCGTGAGAGCTCTTGGCTAACCAAGGCAGTATACGAAGATACAATTGCTTCTAGTTACCTTATGCAGCTACCGACAGGGTTGGTTTAGGTCTCTTGAAGTAGACCTAGCAGTAAGCTTTCCGATAACTCCAAAAACCTTGATGAAGGCAGAAAAGTAGTGCACTGGAATGCGAACGACTATGCTGACACACAGTCAAGATTGAAAACCGACGTTTGTCGTTTATCCGTTTATAGTACCCTGGAGAAAGTTTACGCAATGGGTAGGCATGATCGAGCCCTATTGAATGAGGGTACCCAGGCCGATGTACGAAAATATTTGAGTCCGAAGACTTGAAATGTCAGGAACAACGAAACAATTCCGACCAGCACAGCAGGTGAACACTAATTGAACGATGTGTCACGTATGAAGTCCAGGTTTCGGCATTCGGGCAGTTCTTGTGAGATCGACATGGCAAATCCCTCCGGCACATACATTTACAAGTTCTGCTCCCCAGAAATGACTTGGATGTATTCTGTTGTGTTTTGTTTTACCATTTCTGCGGCATATTTTGAGTCCCTTGATTTGTGACGCCTCCATGTCTAATCATAGACCTGCAAATATATATATATATATCTCCTTTTATATTGGAAGGACATTTGTTCCGATGCGTGCGCTGTTACTGTGCTAAACGTCCTTGGGAACGTTCCCCAGGCAACGTCCGAGGTGCATTCGGTTAAAAATGTCCTTAACTAGCGTAACTTAAAGGTATTACTGTGTGACAGCATACACCTTATCATCCACCTTTTCAGGATATTCCGCATAGCATATTTTGTCAAATAGGAGAGTAACATGGTCACTGTGACCCAGTGGTGTGCTTGGAACTGTTTCGTCTAACATGAGTTCTTTGTTAGTGAGCACAAGATGTAGTATCCACGGCTTGTTAGCAGTTCGAAATCTAGTGGGAGAGGTTACGGGGTTGTACAGTGGGTGGCGACCAGTTAGCTTTTACAATCAGACTTTAAACTACGTACCATCGATTGCTCGCGTTTCCATGTCGTACACGTTAAAGTCACCAGAGATAAGAATGCGAATGTAGGACTTGTTCAAAGCAAACTGAAATACATGATTCAGTTTGGAGTCAATTTCCAACGTAGAGCTTGGTGGGCGCTGAATTCCGGCTAGTAGACATGCGTTCTTGTTTCGCAACCATAGGCGTCACCAAAGCGAATCAGGAGCGCGGATTTAAGGGTGATCTCTAACTTCACATCGGAGTTTTGTATTATGACAACAAATCACATCACCACCCCTTCTATTTCTATCGTTTTGACGCAGCGACATAGTGATAAAGTGATCTCAGAAACGACTATCTCACAGATTAACCAGGTCTCCGTCATCAGGACGAGGTCTTGCGGTTGTGCGGCATGGAGTTCTCTAAGTTTGACCAGCTTAGTTAGAAGAGCTTGGGCGTTTGTGTATATACAATGTAGTGTTTCTGTTGTTAGGAATGCGTTGCTGGATGTGAAATTTGTGTTTGTTTTTAAGCCGACAGTTAGGTGGCCGGTCTGTAATCGTTTTTTGGTTTATGAATTTCAGTCAACTTGCATGGTATTGTGGAGCTTTTCTGAACACATATTTCACTCGTGCTGCACTCTGCCCTGTTGTGCGCCGTGGATTCGATTGTATTGGTCTCACTGCAGGACTGTGCATAGAAAGTATTTACGGTGTTTGCAAGTTCCAATGAATTGCTTACGACTCTTAGCCGTTCGCCTGCTGCTTTTAGCCGGATTTCTGCTAGCAACCGAGTTCGAAACTTTGACCAGATATCTAAAAGAACGTGTGTCACTCGGAGTATAGTACTACTTTCATTAGTCTTGGACTGCAACCCTTGTAGTTAGGTCATGAAGGAACTCCTGTCAAGGATTTGGCAAAAGCATTGTCCATAGTGAGTGCTTCGCGGATGTAGTAACATTGCTCTCGGTCATGTGCTTGCGCATCATCATCAGAAGAATTCAGATGTTCAGGAACACCATGAACAAATGTGGTTTGTTTGCTATCGCTATTAGGAAGGCTGCGTTGGTCAACGGGAGAGCGGCTAATATACGCGCTCAGCTCGGTGAGTTGCGAACACGAACTGCTGAGAGTAGTCAAGTTTCGGTCTCATCCTCACGATGATGATGATGACTGTTGCTGTCGGCCAGTCTCGGTCCAAGCACAGCTGTTCGGGTTTACGCGTTTTGTCACGAGTCACAGCTCGCGTCTAAAACGTTATGCCCCCGTATCTGTATGAATTATTCGATTTACTTTGTTCCAGATTGTCGTTTCAAGTGATTGGCTGTTGCTTGATATCCCCTGTGTGGCTGCGCTCGATGTGCATGTTGGCAAGGTGCCTACCTGCCTATTACCCACTACCTCGTCCATACTGGCTTCAGGAGACAGTTGGTCGTTGCT